CTTCGATGAGGTCTTCCACTGCTCTTTTGAGAGTCCAACAATCTTCAGTATCATGTCCCACTACTCCGGAGTGGTATTCACATCTAGCATCAGCTCGGTGCGAGGGGGACTCAGAGTTTGGCTGGTTCGAAGCGACTGGCTGCAGCAGACCTAGCCTGACTAGCTTTTGGAATAAGCTAGAGTATGATTCACCAATAGGGGTGAACTGATTCCTTCTGAGGGGCTCTCTTAGGCGAGGATTGTATTGGAAACATTTGGTTGGGGATTATATGGAGCTTGGTAGGGACGGGCATTTCCGTGAGGTGGAGTTCGGTCTTGTGTATAATGTTGTGGCCGCGTGTAAGATTGCGCATTCATCACCGCATAGGGAGGCGATGCCACGACATAAGGAGCATCTTGATGGGGATAATAGTGTTGTGAGACCTCAGGAAGCATATATGATTGGTTGAATGCACGTGGACCCCCCTCAAGCTGGAAGCCATCATGGCTCTCTCTTCTCTCTCCCGTTTATATTCATCAAACCCCCCGAACTATTCTGAACGGCTTGTGATGTGGCCTTAAAAGCAGCTCGACTCAAGATTCAACCCGTTTTCAAACCATTTTCGACCATCTCCCCAATTTTGATGGCCTCGGCAAATGGTCTACCCATAGCAAACATCATGTTCTGGAAATAATCAGGCCCTTGAGCCTCTATAAAAATAGTGATCAACTCATAATTATCCATGGGTGGCTTAACTCTAGTCGCTTGCTCCCTCCACTTAATGGCATACTCCCTAAAGCTTTCCGTCGACTTTTTCTTCATATTGGACAGGGAATTGCGATCCGGCGCAATATCAATGTTGTATTGAAATTATTTGACGAAGTCTTGGGCCATGTCGTCCCAGACATACCAGTGAGACCCTAAAAGCCATATTTGGCCATCTCATCCGGCTCAACCGTCTTGGCAGGCTTTTCAGTTTTCACTCGTGACTCGTACTGAGGAGTCTGATTGTATGGAGCCGAGACCCTAAAAGCCATATTTGGAGAGTAGTAATGGACATCATAAGCAAGCGATGGTGGCTCGTTGTTTGGCCTCGTCATAGGAGGTGGTGGCGGGATTGTATATACCGGCGTGCCAGACACGACATGAGGGGTGTTCCTAACCGGTGCGACTGGAGGTCGCATATTAGAGGTACCAGGGGCAGCATGAAGGTTGTAGTTTGGCACATACCCTGGTGGTAGAATGTGATCGCTCACTGCATGGAGCGGTGGTTGAGTAGCCCGGGGTACAGTGGAAGTTCTCTCTGAGGGACTCTGGGGTGGAGGCTGACCGGAAACCCAAGCTTGATATACATCAGACAGTTGTTGTCTCAATTTTCTTATTTCTTCCGACTCTTGCTCAAATGACGGACCTTGGGGATTATCACTGACTAACTCGATTTCATCACTGCTATCCATTACTACTGTTCCCTTTGATATGGTGAAGTAATGATGTGTTGCCAGTTTCACCACAAACCAACCACCTTAAGCTTACTATATAAGAGACAACAAGCGTGTTAGGGTTAGGCATTTTATAGATATGAATCACACGTAATATGCCACGCTCCTAACATTATCACCATTTTTTTTTCTTTTCACTCATGCCTCATTTTGCTCCTTCATCTTAGAATCGTTGAAAAATATTTTGATCGAACCTTTTGTGGGTTGCCTACGTATCATGTCGCCGCATGAATCAGATCATTACGTAGTTCAAGGAGATCGGGAATAAACTGATCCATTTGTTTTTCTGTTTTTTTATATAAAGACTTTTAAATATATATTTTTTGAGCTTTTTTTCTTTTTATGGAATTTTGATTTTTTTTTAAAAAGAAGGAATTCTAAAGAAGGAAGAAAATATTTTGGATTTCGATTTGAAATTTTTTTTCGAATGAAAGACTTCGGAAAAGAAGGAAAATATTTTTGGATTTAATTTTTTTTTTTTTTGGATTTTCTAATGAAAGAATTCTAAAGTCGGAACCAATGAGGTTTGCCTACATATCTCACATCCGGTGAGAATCAGACCCGCGTAATTCGGTCCAAGACTTGATAGATTTTGATCTTTTTTTATTTTTCTCTTTTTTGTTTTTCATTTTTTTATAGTAAAAAAAAGATTATTTGTACAAAACTGGGAAAAAGATTATTTTTTTTCAATTCTGCTCAACTATTTTTCTAAAGCCAGTCAAAAATGCAAGCAAGCCTTCCAAATAATGCAGCAAGTAGCACATAAGTGAACATGATAGCCGTAAAAAGGATGCATAACTTATACGGACCCGGCCCCTATGCTGAGTTTCGCTAAGTCAAATGCACATGATGCAATAAAGTGATCCTACTATGAATAACCAAGTATGTGGCTTGTTCTTCTAGGTTTTAAAAATCCAAGGGGCTGAGTTGCATCTAGACTGACCATAAAACGAGCAGACAACTCTAGTTGGGAAGGGGTAGCGTACCGGAAGCAATACTTCTCCGGCTTAACTACTAGAACCTCCCCGTTCTTAAACATGGGTGACTAATAATCCTTCACCGAGAGCCCAGGCCCACCAGCTTTATCTCAAAGAAGAATGGGGAGCGTATTCGCGATTCCCAAGGTTATATTCAGAAGACTCAGAGGATGTGCGTGAGAAGACAGTTTATATATACAATTCAACAATATCAAAGCGGTAAAAACTGGACAAGTAGCACATTAGGCCCAAATAAATCACAATATATACAAAAATTAATAAAGTCAAATAAAATCAATGTACAAGCTCGAATTCTTGAATTCCTCAGCAGAGTCGCCAGAGCTGTCACACCCCTTTTTACCCCACAAAATATGTGTGTGTGAATTATTGTGGGTTAAAGAGTTTTTCAATTAAAGTGACAAACTTGAATAGAGATTATTTTATTTATAAAGTTGCCACTTGGAATTGAGTGTTTGGGTATTACAAGTCACCTTTTATTTGAATCCCTAGTCAAAGAAAGGTTTGATTCTATTATTATTGGTTTGTGAAAATAAAGTCGGGGTAAGAAATTTTGTTGACCGGGGAGAAGATGTAAGGCATTCCCCGAGTCCCGTGGTTCTAGCACGGTCGCTTTATTGACTGAAAATGGCTTGAATTAATTTTGGATAAACTCTAATTTATTGATTTTCATATTTTATCTATTCTCTTTTAATTGTTAAAATATGAAATTATCTTTGAAACGAATCACATGTGTGAATCCGTTTTGTTTATTGTGCCAAAATTACGTCATGCGTACGCGTACACAATTAATAACAGTTTATTATATTAAGATTGTTTTGGCCAAAGTTGTGCGAACACATACTTCAATTTTAATTTTGAAAATTACAATTATGTCATGCGAACGTGTACACAATCACGATTGAGCATTGAGCATTTTAAACATAACTAATATTTAGCAAATCAAATATTAAACTATTATTTAGCAAATCAAACAAAATTCACCGTTGAGCATTTTAAACAAAGCAGATTATGTGCAAAATCAATAACATAACTAAGAAAAATATAAACTAAGACGAGATAAAATAAATAAAACAAAGCAATAAAAAACTACAGATTCATGAACTTCTATTGCGGCTCACTACATTCGATCATGGAAATATGCAGCATATAGATATCAACTTAACGAAGTGACAAGATAAAAAGGAACGGACCTTCACTGTTGCCAAATGCTTTTCAATATATTGATAAAGAAGAAACTTGTATAACAGCTCGGAACCAGAACAATACCGTCAACCTCAACAAATCCTCAAACTCGAACAAGAATACCTTGTCATTGGATGACTTATAGATTGGTTTTATGTGTTGGAACAGTCATTTTTGGTTGGTTTCTCACAGCCACTTTTGCTGCGTTTTTTCCCAACTGTTGCAATTGATTCTTTGATGGGGATGAGCTGGTTTGGAGCTGATTTTCGCCGCTATTTTCTGGTAGTTTTAAGGTTATTTTAATGGAGTTTTACATAATTTTGGGGATGGTTTTAGATCTAGACTTGGGTGGATTTTTTGGAAGAGATCCCGTTATGGCTGTCTCCTCTTTTTTTGGTTTTTGTTTCGAAGACTAACCTCCTCTTTTGCGTGTCCATTTATGTGAAGGAAAAAATGGGGATCTGTGGGAAGGGTTGTGAGTGGGGGGAAGCATGGGGGACAAGGAAAAGTGGAATGGGGACATGCGTGAGAAGATAAGAGCGAGAAAGATGGAGTGAAAAGTGAGGTATTGGTGAGATGAGTGAGAAAAAATTCAAGCATGGTCAAAAATTAGGTGCTCACACTCCTCATACCCCACTTAGGGAATAAAGCTTGTTATGTTATTGTTGTAGTGGTTGAAATTATGTTTTTTTCATCTTTGAAGTCAATATACAAAAATAACACCCTTTAAGGATACAACTATGTGGTCACATGTTATACCATTAATAAAAATAGTAAAATTTGTAAGCATAGGAGGCCGGACGAATAAAGTTGCAATTTAAAGCAATTAAAAGCTCTCCGTACTTTTTAAACAGCTATGTAATTACTTATTCTAAGTATAGCTTAATACAGTTTCAAATTAATAATTTGTTATTAAAATTCTAAACTATTTTGTTTTAGATTATACTTTCAAATAGTAATTAGTTTGAGAACAGTTATTAAGTAGTAGTATAATTTTTAAGATTCCACGTGCTTGTCTAATATAGGATACGGAAAACACTCCACTGTTACAGCAATGAGGGATTAAAAGGAAACACTTGATTCTCTTAATTTTTTCCTTTACTTCTTTTCATCAATCTTTCAACGGATTAAAATAGTTATGTAATGGTACTTCCAATATTACCGTGAAACACATTTTAAAAAAATAAAAAATAAAAAATAAAAAATAACATGAAACACCTTAATTGGGTTAGTGGGCTCGAGCAGTTTGACATCCTATTACAGCCCATTTGGCAAATGATAATTGGGCTTTTAAAGAACCCAACTAAACATGAAAAGAACATCCAACCAACTAGTTCCACACCGACCATTTCTAAAACTTACTTTTCCTTATATTGCGAAAGAAGAAGACATGAGTTCGTCCCTTCGGGGACATCCGATAAAATTGGAACGATACAGAGAAGATTAGCATGGCCCCTGCGCAAGGATGACACGCACAAATCGAGAAATGGTCCAAATTTTTTTCCCACATTTTTGGATTTGTTGTTCTTTCTGCAACTTAGGTCCTTCTACGTTTCAGATTTGTTCTTAACTGGGTTTTTTATTGGAACACACAATCTGAGCCTCTGAGGTCAGTTTGTTTCTTTTTTTTTCTTTTCGTTTTTGTTCTTTTATTGACTATTGTCCCTTTTCGTTTCTGTAAATTGTTAAAAAGCTTCTTGCGTTTGTCAGCTTTTCATATTTATCTGTAGTTTATAATTGCCTTGAACATCTTAGAACTTTTCGGGAGGGTATTCTCCAAAAAGGGATTTAAAGAACCTCTAGTTTTAACTTTTGGGGACCGAACAGAGGATTCATATAGCCGACCAAAACTAGTTTGGGTTGTGCTATAGACGTATAGTTGATTGATTGATTAATTCTCTAGAAAAAGATTTGTTTGACACATCAGAAAGTTGTCAACAGATTTAGTTGGATAATCATCTTTTGCTGAAAGCATTTAGCCATTCTAAGTTAAACTTATACATTGACATATCAATCAAGAGTAATAAGTTGAAGAGAATTGGGGAGAAGAGGTTCATTGATGAAACTGGATTTTCCAACTTGGAATTGAAATTTCTATAGCTTAATAAGCATTTTCTTTCACTTGCATTGCTTAACTATTGCCATTTTTGCAAAGCTTGATAATTGTTATGTTTGTGACTCCCTTTTAACTTAACACTTCCACAAGCTTCATTACATTTGACTTCCAATGCTGGGAATGAGAAACTGGACTTATAGGGCCAGGCTTTCTCTCACGGTCCTTTTTATATTATATTACAATATACGGCCGTTCTATTTACAGCACATAATACTTAGTGTGAGCCCATGTCCTTATTGTGACTGCAACTATTATGATACTGCATCCCTCTCCCGTTCAAGGAGAACGAGGTTGTGAATATCAGTTGTCCTCTTTGAGACAGGTACCATAGAGCAGCTGTTGAGATAAAGAGGCCTCTCAAGTTGCCCCTGACAGATGGCATTCAACGTGTGTTTTGGCATGTAATACAGGGCTGTAAAAGTTCTTGATGTTCTGGCTCCTATTGGGCTGCAGGTATATTTTAGGAATACTAAGATCTTTTTTTTTCTTTTTTCTTTTTTTTAACTTATAATAAATCTACCCTAGAAGATGATAGATGTTTTTAGATTCTCATATGGATGGATGCTGTCCTTTGCAGGTTGCTCTCATCAATGTCAATCTGAAGCATGGGCTTTTGATGCTGGGGTCCCTGAAGTAATCGAAGTCTTGGGTACGATGGTGGTCGATTTATAAGGAGTGCGGAGAGTCTAGTCGATGATAAGTAAATAAGGCACCGCATGCGGAAAGGTATATAGAGGGACTAGGAAAAGTTTACCTTGTCTGGAATCTCACAAACCAATTTCTCATTATGTTGCTTAATAGTATAGCTTGATATCATGTCCTCTTAAATGGTAGAGATTAATGTTCAATGGTTGTCGTAGTTTTTGTGGTTGAAAAGATAATGGCATAAGTTAGACTTAATCTGATGGTATTGACTAAAAGATGAAATTGAAGGCTGTTTTTTCAATCTTTCAGCTGAGTTGTGCTTCGGCCATCTTCCACATTCAAACTGTTGACCTTTAATGAGGCTTAATATCAACTTGGTCAGTGAGGACCTAGGAGCTGTAGTTCGCTCTAGTACTAGAATGCCAGCACTACAGTGTGTGAAGGTTCCAAATTTGAGCTGAAAGTCTGAGTTTATACAGAAATTATCAGTTTTAGTACTCGATTAAATTCTCTGTTGCCCAATGCCAGAACAAGGACCTGAGTGGTTCCTTCTTTGGTGACTAGAGCTACTTGTACAGCATGGCCACCAGAAGTTGTCGATGCTCCACTTATTTATATATCCATTGGAGAAAGCAGTATTCTTTTTAAGGTACATGAACAAGGTACTTTGCTATCTAAAGAAAAGTTTATCTGCAGTTACACTAGCTTCTGGATTTATGTACTGCCTGTTCATACGTAAAACTTTCCGATGGTGAGCTACTTTGGTTGATACCGTTAAGAGGGTCTTCTGGTTTTTAGTATGAGTAAGCCGTGAGTTTTGTGATTGCTTCCTTTTGGATGGCTCCTTGCACTTTCATTTCGTTCACTTAGCATGTGTTAATCACTATGAAATTCAATATTTAATTTCATGATTTGTATACCTAATGTGCTCCATTAGTTTTCTAAGATGAACCAGTGCTCCTTGAATCTCAAAATTTGAAATACTTTCTACATAAAGTCCGGCCATCATCTGGTTGTGGAAATATGATGTCCCCTTTTTGGTGCATATTAGCATTGGTTAATGATTGTCAGTGCTTCTACCAGTTGGACAAAAAAGTGTCAGGAGAACGGTTGTTATATGAGTTTGCTAAAGGGGGTCGAAATTTTGAGATAGTGATGATTTGACAATTCTAGCTGATAGGTACTTGAAAATCTTGGTTTGTTAATGTAAATTACAACCAAAAATGAACAGTCTCAACAAGAGACCATAATCAGACTATTTGAAGCATATCTTTCAAATTGCAGTTTGTCTTGATTGGTCTATTAAATTTGCCAGAACTTACGGTATTATTTTCATGTTTTTCTCCAGATGAAAACATGGCAACTTCCTTCACTGGACTATTCATGTTCATCACTTTGGTCAAGTATGTTCTGATCATATTACCAGATGATGTGTATTCATTGTTTTCATTCTCTTGTAGTCATCAGCTTCCTCTTAGTATATCTTCTTGGCAAATGGTTGTTGCACTTCCTTCACGTCTTCAGCTTTTGGTTATTAATCTACATGGTAGGGGTCGATGCCAAACCTCCCGTCATTACAAGACGGCTTTAAATAAATAAAAAAAATGGTTGTTGCACTGCTTCGTTTTGTTCTTTCCCTTTATTATAGGGTAATGAGCTAATTAAGGCCATGTATTTCCCATTCTCATCTCAGAGTGAGAAAAGAAATACAAGGTAGTGCACGTATCTTGGAAAATCTTTTAACTGAAGTTTTTCGCTTGATTCTTCTGTCACACACACTCACAAAAATATTTGTTTACACGTTACGCGTACACCACAATTCTTTCTTTTTTGGTTACAAAGACGTGCGTTACTTGTAAATGGGAGCTCCAGGAGAAAAAAAGTAAAACATGGTATGGCGTTGTTCTCTTGGATATTGTTTTCCTATTTCAAGTGTGCCCAAAATTATTCTAAACAACATCTTAGGACTTCAGCTTCCAAGTTTTTAGGTGTCTCTACTGTATGTATACTAATTATAACCTTTTTCTTCATTTAGAGAAGAAATTGCCACTTCATATGTAGTGAAAATGCAGAACCTAGCTTCTCATCTATCGCAACTGTTTCCGCTGTCCACACTCCTGTCTCTACAATTAGCATCCACAGGGAAGATGTAAAGCTAATACTACTGCAGCAATTGATAATGAAATTGATTTGGTTGATGAGTTGGAACATATGTTTATACTTTCTGAAGAAAAGGGGAACCCTTGCAATTACTTGGTTAGTCTGTCTTGCTAGGCATGCAGGTATATAGGACAGTGCTGTCAAAGGAAAGATCAAGGTACTTAGTATTTTGCCTCATCTGATGTTGTTTCAAAAAATTTCATTACCTCTCTTATATAGGCAGAATATTTTGCACTGGGCTATATTACTGTTGGAGAGAGTTGCTATATTGGAAATGTCTGATAAACCAGTTGCATTTACGAGGAAGAAACTTAATCCTATTTCTAGTGGGGATGTCATTTTTGTATTGCGTTTACTTCTTGTCCTTGCAATTAATCTTCATGCTTTTAGTTAAGAATCTACTAACCTTGTGCCATTCACAACAGTGTTATCAAAGACTCGCTTAAACTTCTAAGAGATACACAGCTCAGATTGGGAGCTCCGTGTCACTTAGGTGGTGCTTCGATGAAGAAGCTAAGGTGCAAGAGAGTGCACCTTCAGGAAAATCCGCCGACTAACAGTTACAAAGAAAAGGTTAACTTATGAGGTGCATAGTGTCTATCTCGAGGAGGACGAGAGAGATGAATGACAGGCGAACACTATATTAATTGTTAAGAGAACATTTTGGGTAACTATGTTTGTAATAAAGATATACAAAACTAGTCAATTGATTTGAATCGGTAACTTATAAGCTTTTGTGTCCACATTTATTTTTTCTTGGGTTATACGTCTTTTTTTATTTTCCTTAATTATGTACCTTTCTAACTTTATAAGGTAGTGGTAAGGTGCGCATGCACACTAACCTTCCCAGACCCACTTATGGATTATAATGGGTTTTTTTTTGTTGTTGTTGTTTCATTATGCACCTTCTTTCAGTAAGGTTTCAATGTAAAGGAAGGAGTAAACATGAAGTTTCTGAGTCTATATCGATGATGGAAGCCTTCTGAGATACTATTTGATCATGATATGACTTGGTCAAGATTGGACTTAATGAAACACGTAGAGTTTGATCCTTTGTTCAACTGTTTATGACTTCAACTTGTGCAGAGTAATAGGTTTTTCTCCTGTAGAGGTAACCACTGCTGCTGCTTCTGTGGCAAACGTGTCATTGTACCCGAGGAAGACCTTGAGACTTTTTTGGAAACTGTTGCTGAATTTTGAGGTAATTCCCTGTTGTTCTTTATGGAACTTTTCTTTATAGAATTGCTAATAGAGTTTCATGCTTCACGTTGTTATTGCACCTAAGCTGTTATATGGAGAACCTAATGCAAGAACATCGTATGCTGAATAGTGAAATTGATCTTCTCTATAGAACCATAAACTAGCAATATTTTACATTTGCAATATTATATGTTTATTTATGGGAAAAGGGCCAAGATATATTGTTCACATTTATCCTCCGTTATAATATCGGGTCAAATCTACCCTCATCGTTAGCAAAGTTTTCAAATTTGCCCTCTAATCTAACGAAAAGCCCCCAAATCTCAAATTCCTTCTATTTACTACAATTTTTTCTCACAAATAACTTATCTCCGCGTGTGCTCTATCAGATAAGAAAATATCCTCGACAAGCTGATTTCTTATTCCACTTGATTATTTAGAGCAGGAAGACTTGACAAACTTGCCACCTCCAGACATGAGAACACTAGTAAATATTCCTTTGAAAGAATGTTCGACATAAATTTAAACAAATCATTTAATTTAGGATTTCTCAAACAATACTAAAGAATTATTTGTCACAAATTTCATGCAGAAGTGCTTGCGCAAGCAAAATTTGCATCAAATAACATGCTAAATCCAAATCCGAAAGGGAATGCATTTACATGGATACCTACGGCCTTGTTATGCTTGTAGTCCATAAAAAATAGTAAATATTAGTAACTTCATAAGCGAATGCATTTCGACCACCTGAAGAATCAAATAAATCTCTTCCAAATTATCTACGGTATTTCACTCATCCTCATTCCGTTAGAGACATACCCATAAACTGTGAATTTTGCGTTTCATTTATGGTTTGAGCATAACCAAAGACAAGGGGAATAATTATGCTGTAACTCCACACTCCCATTTCTATAATATGAACCTTTTTTCTTCTCTGATGGATCACACGTAGGAGAAGACTGATTTGTGAGAAGAATTGCGGTAAATAGAAGGGATTTGGGGCTTTCCGTTTGGTTAGAAGGCAAATTTGAAAACTTTGCTAACGGTGAGGGTAGATTTGATCCGATAGTATAACGGAGATAAATATGAACAGTAGAGGGGTATATTTGGCCCTTTTCCCTTTATTTATTGACTTACATTTGTGTGCACCATAAGAAGTATGACAAAAGGCTCTAAAGAATCAATCACTGGCTTTAAATGGAAACGATTGGAAGCAGTCTTCGTTGCAGACTTTGCATTGAAGAAATACCGGACAAAGTGACTTGGTGCAGACTAACGTAAGAGTTTCCAAATCAAGATAAATAGCAATCAGTTCATTCACCATCAACAATCTGAAGTAAGTTACAGGAGTGAACTGCATTAGAAGGTATCTGCCAAGACAACAGTTGTTTTTTTAATTCAATTGTCAGCCTCTTTTTTCCACCTTGTTTTCGTTTTCGTTTTGTTTCTTTCATCTTCAGTACTCCACACCAAAATGAAAAGAAAGAAACCACATTCTGGCCAGTTTGCATGGGAACTTAGCTGACATTATTCTAACTTAGCTTCAGTTTACTGTGTCCTCAATCCACTTTTATATGTGGAGATAAGACAGACTTTGGATAACCATATTCCTTAAATCCAGTCACATCTAGAATTATCTTGCTGGGCGCCTCTGTTGGTGGTTGCCCTCGCCCTGGGAACAAAAACCAACGTTGGAACCATTCTAGAAGTTCAGGGAAAAATATTCTGTAGACGAATAATGTCCTGAACCATGGTGGTTCTGTTAGATAGTTGTCTCCGCGACATGCACTCTTGACAATCGCTCTAGCACATTTTTGCACTGGCAATATAGGAGTAACACTCATTTCAACCTGGTAACAATTGCAACAAACTGAATGAATTTTGCTATCTTCTTTGAGAAAGATGAGAAAATAAATAGTTGAGGGACGTCTTGAAGACGTAAGTAAATAAATTGAGGTGTTTTTTCTTTCTAGTAGCTTAAACTAGAGATAAGGTGGTCACACAATTCAACGGTTGCTAGGGCAGTAGTTATAAAAGCTTGACATCTGAATCAAAAGAAGTAGCTTACGTCTCTCATTACTTGGTTTACTTCCAACTTGCCCTCTGTTGTGAGAAATTTGCCTTTGGTCAACTCAGATTCAACTAGTCCAGGAGTGACTATTGTAATCCCAATTTGTGTCCCAAGTTCTACCCGCAGCGTCTCATAGAAACTAATCATTGCAGCTTTACTTGCCTGTAGAAACACTGAATTATATCCCAGTTCAATGAGGCATAAGAAGAATGTAATTCAAAGTCGTTGCCAGATAATATACATTATAGAAGCTGATTCTGGCTGCATTCAAACCACCAGCTGATGAAGTGATTGCTACGATTTTCCCCTTGGTTTCCTTCAAATGGGGGATGGCAAAATGGGTAGTATAAACTGCACCCCAGAAATTTATGTCCTGAGATTACAACATACGCTAAATTAATCTCTGGTTTACCTTTCCCAAAAGTTCATTATATGAGCAAACTCCAAGACATTTACACACTTTACTCATGTTAATTAGATGCTGAAATTGCTTTGAAAAGGATATGGATTTCAATAATGAATAGAAAAGGAAAAAGAATATGGATTTTACCATTGCGGGTGCAGCGTTGGTGACCTCTATAAGATCCTCAAACATGTATAGGGGCGTCACAGCAGCATTGATCACCAGATGATCCACTACAGCAAAATTAGCAACAAAATCATTGACACTTAAACACAATTGACACAATTCTTTAATTTTACGTACAATATAAGATGATCATTCGCTGTTATATTTATTAGTTTTCTACACTTACATCTGCCAAAGTTGTTTATAGCTTCCTCAATTAATCGCTGGCAATCTTCAACTTTGGAAACATCAGCATGCACAGGAACAACATCTGGAGATCCAAGCCAATAAGCCATATCTGCTACTTGCTGAAGACTTCTGCGCCTTCTTGCCGCAAGCACTAGACGAGCACCTCTTTTAGCATATTCATAGGCTAAATGCTTCAATTTCCATAACAAACTCAAATTAATCAACTAAGTCCTGCATATAAAAAAGACCTACTACTCTAATGATTATAAATCTAACAAGGAATAATTTATATATATTGACAGTCTAAAGATTTTTTTTACCTATCATTGTAATTTAACCTGTGATATAAGATTACTTAAGTTATCAATTAATGTTTATCATAGAAATTTCACATTAATAACCTTATAAATGACCTCACTACATGTGCAAATATTCATACACCATAGATAACAATACAACCACTAAGCATCCAAACAAGTTAGGTCGGCTATATGAATTCTCACTTCTCCATTTAAGCTTAACCATATATAGGTGTAAAAGGAACTTAAATTCAGTAAGTAAAATGTTAGGGGTATTATTTACATCTGTAGTCAAAAAAATATATAAAATTTGTATAATTTTTGTATATAAAATACAGAATGTATATATATATATACAAAAAATATACAAATTTTATATATTTTTCCGGCTATTATTTTTACAGTGTCATTTGTTGGGTATAAGGGATCAGAAATGTGTAAAATGTTGGGTACAAACCTCGCCGATACCAGAAGAGGCCCCTGTGATCAGAACAACTTTACCAGCGACGTTTTCACTAAATATAGAACGGAAAATGAAGTGAAGAAACTTGAGAAAGAGATATAAAGGCATGAAGTGGATGAGTGCTGTTGTTGATATATGAGGTAAATAAGTGTTCAAGATTTTGTGAATTAAATCCAAGACAAGCTCCATTGTTTCAGAGCATTTGCAGCAATTGTTCTTTCTTTTCTGGGGGAGAGGAGAGGAAAAATCTCGTGAAGTCCAGCAGATATATAATGCTTAAAAGGCCATTAACACGTGGTAGAAAAAAGCACATTACCCTTGCATGCGATGAAATTGACACGTACTCTTTTTGACCGTACTCAAACTTATATTTGTTTGTTTGACAACAACTTTCACCTTTGGTACAACCTAAGTTTTTACTAATTGATATATTACAGAGTTGGACAGGTAGGGCGGAGCCACATTGAATCAAGGGGTATCAAAGCGATATCTTATTCGCTAGTAAATTATATTATTTTAATATTTTTTAATAAAAATTCTGAATCCGTCACATGTAGTTAAAGTTCGTCCAACAAAAGCTCTTCAGATGGCTAATATGGTTATTGTTGACGCATACAAACGCCCAACCGATATTGTGAAGTTTTATAACTCTACTGTGCACAAATGCGATATGTACCTGAAATTAATATATGAGTTAAAATATATATCATGCAGTGAAGTGAATGATGATTTGACCAACAATAAATAGAATTATGCATCTTGAATTGACGTAGAATACGACTTAGAATTATCAGATACTAAGGAATATGTCCACGCGAAGCGATGTTTTAATCAATTTAAAAATGTTTTTTTATAAGTTTTGTCAAAACAAATAAGATAAATATTTCATGTAAAAGTTTTCGTTTAATTCTAAATATTGATGAAATCGCAATTGTGAAATATCATTAATTATTAGAATGAGCCTACGTGAATTGTGTCTTTTATTATTATATTTTCCTTCGTACATGAAAAAATATAAAAAGATTTCAAGTAAGATTGTCACTTTTAGATATAACATATGTATACGTGGTTTTAATACACAGTAATTCTCTTAGTCTAATATTAAATATCGGTATTTTGATTTCTTTCTTTCATTAGAAAGAACACAACTTTTGCTTCTTAACCTTTTGTATTGAAATAAAAAAAAAACATGAAATGAAAAGAAGAAACGAAACATAGAAAGAAAAAAACAAAGAAAGAAGTGGCAACACAAGTTTGGGTTCTGCCCACTAAAAATATATTTTTGTTATGTTTTTAGTTTCCTATTGTTTTTCCTTTTTTCAGTTTCTTTTTTTTTCTTTCTTTTTCTATTTCGTAATCTCTTTGTCAAATTCCCCATCCCCTAAATAATTTCTTATTACAAAAAATTCGTTACTTCCCCTCAATCTTCTGTTTTCTATTTGTTTTAGGAAATTTTACCTTCTATAGCAAATGTATATACCTTATTTATTATAAATCAAAATTATTTTAAAATATTATTTTCTATAGTTACCTTTTATATTTTATAGAAAAATAAGTATTTATGATATATACTACAATTGAGGCATGAAATAAGGCATGAAATACGCTATTTATGTTTTTCCTCTCTCTTTCTTTCAATTAACACACGATTCTCTCTCAGAATTTTTTTTCTTTCTCTCTCTCTTTCTTCTCTCTCTCTTTGAGCAAAATAGAAAGAAGAATAAGAGAAAAAGGGATTCTTAGCGCGGTAAGTAAGGGAGAAAATAGGAAGAAGTGGTCGAATTGGAAGCGGTGCAAATTGTAATGGAAGAGGCAGTGAAGCGATACAAGGAGTCTTGGCCGAAAAATGCCATCTCCGACGAATTTTCTTCTCTTCTTTGCTATTTAGTCACATACAATGATACAAATATATTATATTATGTACAAATTCACTCAAACGCATTGTATTTTTGTATAAATATATTTTTTTGCCTGTGTTTATGTATTTTGAAGTCTGTATTTTTTTAATACAGCTAAATACACATGTATTCATGCATACTGCACATATAGTATGCATGAATATAGGATATAAACTTTTAAATATACTGAATACAAATATTAAAATAGAACAGAATATAAACAGTGAATACATTTAATTTTAAAATACAATAAAATGCAATAAAATATACTAAATACAAATAGAAATACTGCGAATACAACCAATAAAATATACTGAATACAACAGTAATAACATGTATTAGGAATAACTAAAATATTATTAATATAAATACATTTGAATATACTGAATATAATATAGCGAATATAGTAAATACAAACATTGAATCTAATGAATGCAACCGTAAAAAATAATATTGAAACACATTAAATACAAAAGTTATATACAACTGAAAAATTATTCTAATTAATTGAGTTGCTAATGAGGCATGTTAGAATTGATTTTGTTGAGTTATATTAGGAGTGTATCATGCTAATTGATATTATTTTCGTTATTAGACAGCTGGACATACCTATTTTTAATGTGATTTTCGTTACTGTATTCATGAATACATGGTGCGAATACATGTGAATACATGCGCGTACAGCTGGACTACCCTGATTTTAGACGCTTTTTATTGTTGTATTCATGAATACAGCAGCGCGAATACATGTGAATACATGCGTGTACAGTTGGACTGCCCTGAATTTAGGCGCTTTTTGCTGCTGTATTCATGAATACATGGCGTGAATACATGTAAATACATACGCGTACAGCTGGACTGCCCTGATTTTTAAGCGCTTTTTGCTGCTGTATTCATGAATATAGTAGCGCGAATACACTATTGTAATAACTGAATAGTAGCTATAGGAAGTAATTATATATATGGTAGCTATAGAAACTAATAGCCACTAAACAATAGTGGTTTCTGAAAATTCCTTTTTGTTCATTCATGAGAAAATTACCTTCATTGTCAGTTGATCCAACATACCAACAAAATTAGGCCCATATATTAGGTCCTTACCCGATTTAACCCAAATTGTAAAATAGTTTTCATCGGTTATCCCAAAGCACGTAATAGGTTTATAATTTCTTTTTTTTTTCATTCCCAACGCACTCAATTCTCTCCCTACCACCTCTCTTTTCTTTCTTTCTAACCCAAATAGATCCCATCATCCTCTCTTACCCTAGCCTCCGTTATTCCTCCTCCCCTTATCCCCTACGCAATTCTAGCTCGGGCTCCTCCTCCGTCGTCCAAGCCCACCAAGTCCGATGGTGGCAAGCAGAAGAAGAATTGAAGATTTTGAAATAAAAATGAAAACTCACACAGATCTAAAATCTTTAGCTCTCAAACTTGATTTGCGCTGAGAAATAACCACTAATTTTGGAAGATTTTGAAGTTTGAAATTCGGATCAGCATTGTTACGACCTTGAAGTCTCGGATCTAAAACTGAATGTATCTTGTCTGTGTATTAAATTCGGAATCGTTCGCATAAAGTTCGCATAAAGTTCTAATACCTGTTGCTACAAGTCGAAGTTGGAATAAAAAATCATAACCATGTAGCAGTTTGTATCGACACTGTATAATAACATATAATTATGTATATGAATGTATAAATACTTCTTATACAATATTATATATGTTTATACAAGTTTATGTATTGTTTATAGTTAGTGTAGTGTTGGACATAATGTGTTTTCTAGTAAAATTTTTGTATTACTAGTGGTTATATACATTTAGTTGATGCTAGGCTAGAAACTCGTATTTTAGCCGTAGTATTGCACTATAATTACTGCATTTTACATATGTTTGAGCTTAAATGATAGTGAATTACACTTAGTACATGTTTTATGCCTTGCAGGAAGTGATTCCGAGTTCAAAAGTTAATTTGGAGCTAAATCGATCAATTTGGAGCTTTGAAGTTTGAGTAAAAGCCCAATACATTAAATCGGGATCATGTTCGGAGGTCGTGTACCAAATCTGGATGTTAAAAGAGGATGAAACAATTTCACTCTGAGAAATTAACTATCACGCCGCATGGGGCGCGACGCAGCAATGTAAAATTGCATGACAAGAAAAAAAATTACTGCCCACTGATAAACTCCACAAGCGCGCCGCGGGGCGCGGCGTGTGTGTGCAAAAATCGCAGAGTAATTCCTACTTCGCCTTGGAAAGGGTATATTCATCCGGGGTTATTTTTACACGATACAAATGCACAACTAAATACGATTTTGAGGGGGTGACGTGACTTTGAGAGGAGAACAAAAGGACGAAACACTCAGGAGCACGGAGTTGATCAATTCTTCCATTCTTCTTCTAGTATTCATTGATTTTATGTTTGAAATTATTATTTTCGATGATTGTATGAACATGAGTGGCTAAGAACCCTATTATTTTGGAGTCATGGGTGCTACATGAATGTTGATGTTTGAAGTTTAATTTGACGAGTATGAGTTTATCATATTGGGTTGTTTATTTGATTCTGTTTTTAATTATTTTGCTGAGTAGATAACAGTAAAATACTATCTACGAATCTAGAGTTGAACTCGAAAGTGGGAATTCTAGATTGCATATAGAATTAAATAGAGCAAGTTCTTGAAACTGGGCATCGGGGAATGGATTCGCAATTAGGATAGACATATACCTAATTGTCTTACTTGGTTGAAATACAGGAATTATAAATGCATTCTTGTTAATCTTAATTCCATAGATATACATACATTAAGTTAGCTTGAATAGGCGAGTAAGAACTCGATAGATTCTTATGAGTAATATCAACCCTGTCAATCAACAATCCAGATAAATCAATTAGTCATTTTAAGCCAAGAACACAACATGATTGTTAGCTAACCTATGACCCTGGAATATCCTCTCCTACTGATTGTTATTCGAAATTGTTTAAGTGTTGTGGTTGATTTCTAGTTATTTCATTGCTTGATAGTTTTAGGTAGTAAATTAGTCACTTATATATTATGTGAGAAATCTCTTGAATCGATAAGTTGTTTGAGTTTGAATTAGTCAAAAGTTAATCATAAGTTTTCGTGGGAACGATACTCTACTCACTACTTTATTACTTGAAGACCACGTATACTTGCGTGAGTGTTTTTGGTCGCAACAAATTTTTGGCGCCATTGTCGGAGACTTAGAAATTAGCTACTTGACTGAGTTAAGCTCTTATTAGTTATTTATTCAAGTTTTTAATTTTCAGCTTGCCTTGTTTGTGTTAACGGAGGCTCTTCTTTTGA